AGAGAGAGCAGAGAAGAGAAGAGCAGGGAAGACAAGAGAAGCAGAGGTGCAAAGAAAAGCAGAACAAAGCAGAGCAGAGAAAGGCAGGACAAAGCAGTGGTCTTCCCTTTTGAGGATACCGTGTTCCTGGTTGGATAAGGCTCGAATATGTTCAGGGGCGCATCGAAACAGCTTGGTGAGATGGCTAATCCACACTACACTATGTCCATCAATCATTAGAACTTTGGCCGGTCCATGCCATTTGCCTTTTCTGCCCCTTTACCTTCTTTCCAGTACATGACCCATTGAAAGGTCACCCTGTTAGGACGACTCCTGCCATGCAAAGCTCTGCGGAGATTCTGGCAATTGTCGGCTTTGACAAAAGCGATCCGAGCGGCTTCACGAATGGCTAACTGTTCTTGAAAGTGTCCAGACTCGGTTTCGCTGGCTGTGATGTTTGACCCAACTTCGGAATCGTCCGTGACACTGCCTGGTAAACGACGGTTCTTACCTAAGACCGGCAGTTCAGGAGTGTAGCCCTTTACTCTAGATAGAGAATTCCCGGATGATCGAATCGGTCGGTCGGCATGGAATTTGTCCAACATGTGTTGCAAAATGGCCCCATGCCGTTCTGCTCTGCCAAGTTGCCAATGACCCTCGGTGGGAACAACATGACACTGAATATTCTGCTCTTGCAAATACTTAGCAAAGGCATCACTGTTTGCCTCGGTTGCGCTATCAAACATCATGGCTTTTGGTGGTCCAGCCCAGGACATCCATGCAGATTGCCAGCACTGAATCAAGGTTTCCGTTGTTTTGGATGTGATGGGAATAGCCATGTGAAAGTTCGTGGCTGTGTCAATGAAGTGGTAGAAGGCATGTCGTTCACCCTGAGGAGTACTCCATTCACAGTTGTCGAATTGGACTAGGTCATTAAAATCCCTAGCTTCTTTCAGATGACTGGGTCTTGCTATTTTGGGGAGTGATTGTTCATGGCATGTATCACAGCTCATGTCTCGAACCGCCTGTTGCACTGTCGGGGACCAACCATGGCCATGCAGCGCTCTCGCCATTTGTTCATGATTTGGATGGCCTAAGTTCTTATGCGCGCGATGAAGCGTATTTTGAATATTAACAGGCAGTGCACGAAACATGGGTCCATGAACTGGCGGCTGAGCTTTACAATCCATGCTTTGGCTTGGAAACTGGTCTTTCTGATCCTGGCAAAATTCGGGACCGAGTGTGGTCTCCTTAGCACCGTCCGTCACTTCTCTTGTTTGGGATGGCAAAATGGTCGGAGGCGTCACTTCAACCTTGGCCTTGGGATATGCGAAGATTGTGATGGCTATTCTAGCCGGAGTTCCTGGTCGGGTTTGCTTTCGTTGTGACAAGACAGACCAGTGTTCCCACTTTCGGTCCGAGAAAAAACTGGAGGCTCTTGCGATCTCTGCCGAAGGTCCAGCGATGCGTCCCCTGTTGGGCATCGGTCGGTGCAGTTCTCAGTCTGTCAACCCCTTTACATACATCGATGGCTTGGATCGACATGTCGGGAAACACTTGAGCTATGGCATCAAAAGTGGGTCCATGGGAGAGAATGCGTTTTCCGACTCGAGGTGCCAGGGTTTCACACTGCGTCAACAAGGGCCGCAAAGCCTCGAGTGTGTCCACTTCCCCGAGTGGCTCATACAGCTGATCAGCAGGCGATTTTCCGCTAAGTCTGAGGCGTCTGCGTTTGGCAGGAGGCGCCGACTCACTTTCAGCATTTACCACTAGAGTATCATACATGATGACACAGTGGTGGCATTCCTGGGACTCATGGACCTTGATACTACACTGGATGATACGAGTCAACAACCTTGCAAATCGTTTTGTGTAATTCTCACTGTATTTGGTGAGTGATTGGCGACCACCTCCCGGTATTCGACACGAGCCAGCAATGGAATCATGAACATGATCCCCAGCGCACTGCATTTGCTCCAGTCGTTGAGCCATCAACCTGGATGTAGTGAGGACCTGGGTTCGCTTCCTGAGCAAATCTTGACTATTCGGATGCCTCAGTTGTCCGGCAACACACATGTCACACAACACACGGATGGTGGAAGACAACACCGGCTGCATTTCCTTTTGATAAACCAATTCTGACCCTTGGGGTTGTTCAAGGTGAAAGTGGTATTGAGGCCCCCCTTCGAACCTGAAACGTGCACAAAGCTGAACACAGTTGGAGGTGGACATTTTCTGATTTCCGATCGGCCAAGATTTGTTCTGCCAGGGCGGAAGACTTAGACATGTTTAGCCTGTTCCAATTTGACCATGGTCCACAACGGGGTGATACCCAGATTTGGGAAGGCCTCAAATTCCACAACATGTCATAGAGACGGATTCTTCCGGCAAAGGTAGAAAGGTCCCCTTCTTTCAGGCCAAAACGTTTAGCATTCAACCCCAAACAGTTGGCTTGATGTGTCAATTGGCTGTCAGCCGAACAATACACTAGCACATCTATCCCTGAGCGATTCAAGAAATGAATTTGATGTTCGGGATCGTGAATACCATACTGCTTCGACCAGTATTGATGCATTTCTCGGGATATCCAGCTAGGTTGGTTGGCAAATGAAACAAGTTCGCTTCAGCATATTCACTGTCGATGGCATCAGGCTGGATTGACTGCAGTGCGTCGAGAATCTGGCAAGTCTGCTCCCGATCAGTCGGTTGTTCTTCAAACTCAGTCGGGGGTGATCGGGTCTTTTCAGCAATCCTCACGGCTCCGAGCGACCTGACAGCTGAGTGGTCAGGATTTGCAGCTGCTGAACAACCTGGCCCATGGCCATCTCGATCTGGCTGATGCGCTGGTTCTGATGCTCTGTCTCTTCGCCAACCAATTCCCACGTCTCGTTGTGACTGCGGGGACTGCGAGGGCTGATCTGCGACGATGGAGGTGTCGGAGGTGTCTGTTCGCCCCGAGGCGATGTGATCTTGCCCTTCACCACAGATTTTGGCTGGGCACGACTCTTGGGCATTGTCCCTGGGTATGCTGAGCTCTTGGGTTTCCCCTCGTTCTGGGTCTCCAAGTGTTCCGTGTACAGGTTCACGTCGGCGGGCAAAACAGAGGCTCCGGGCTTGAGATGTCTGGCATCGAGTCGGACATGAGAGTGACCACTGTTGATGCACAGGAGGAAGCACTTGCCGGTTGACCTTCAGACCTCATGACCTCCGGGACAATGTGTTGCACGGAATTCGTTTAACGAGTTGGTGCACTTTGGTTGGTAAGGTTTGCAACAAGTCTTGAACCTGTGCTTCAACGATCACAGTTTGGCTGGCACCGAGGTCCACAATTCCGCATGGACCAAATGAGACAAACAATGCATCCTCACTCGAACAGCCTGTGGTCTTGGCTGGAGGCATAGATGCTCTGACTTCTTGCGTCAGGGAGCTTGGGCTAGGCGTCAGGATGTGACGAAGGCTGGCATTCAGCCTATTGGCGCGCTGATGAAGTGTATCCCCTAATCCCCAAACACTCTTGGTTCTACTCCCTGTCTCCCCACAGGGATGTACCGTGGAGTGAAAACAAAAAAACAGACTTCAAATCAGCACAAGCAGCATCCTGATTCGGAGAGGCTCCAGGGTCGTCGATCAAGATTATGTCATCGAAGCCATCCTCTGTGAGGACATTCCCCGTGAAAGCTGTGGTGGCCGTCTTGCCATCAGAGGCGTTCTCAAACCGCTTCGGGCATTCAGCTTTCCAGTGTCCCCACTTTGCCGCACCTGTGGCATTCACTTTCAAGGATCCTTTGAGCAAGTGGTCCGCGAAAGCTCTTCCCCTTTCCAAAGGACGAGGATCCCTTGCCCTTGCCTTTGAACTTGCCGCCGGAGGACTGACCCTTGATGGGCCAGAAGCCACGGCTGCGAGCCTTCTCGGTGATCTTGCGGCGCGCTTCCAAGTACGTGTTGTAACAAGCTGCTGTCTCAGGGTCCCCTTGGAGCACATCGATCAAACTTTCTTCAAATTGCTGTACGACAAGAACGTCCTGGTCGGTCTCGTCAGCCGGCATGGACAACCAGGAGTCGTCCTCCCAAGCATCTTGGAAGAAAGCTTCGTCATCCGGTGGGCCATGGTGGCCTTCCTCTTCATCCATCATGTTGGCGACCTCGTAGGTCTTGGTGCGAGTGGTGGCCTTGGAGGACTGAAGCTCGGTGAAGAAGCGAGAACCCAACAACTTCAATGCTGCAACCACTCGATCATACTCCAGGCGGCCGCCTGAATCCATGATCACCTTTTTCTTTTCATCCATTTGCAACCCCGAGTTGCGAAGCAGGCAGTAAGCCCTCATCTCCTCGATGGTGACACCGAGGGAGGCTAGCTCTTCAAACTGGTGGTCATGCCTGGCCAAGTAGGACTCGTGGGTCTCATCCGAACGCTGGGAGGTCGAGTAAATGGCCCTCTCAAAACGTTCAAGCTTCTCTTCATGCTTTGCTTTCCCCCAGACTCCTCCGAGGGTCGTGATCAACAGCTTGATGCCGTCCAAGCTGTTCACTTTCAACTTGTGAGCGTCCAGGCGCATCAAGCGCTTGAAGGCTCCTCCCTCGCAAAGCATGGCAGCACGGGGTGCCAGGTGAGCGAGGTGTTCAACAGGCCATAGATCTGCTATAAACTCAAGGCGCTTGGTGTACTCATTGATGTCCGTCTCGCCCGGTCGAAAGACCGGTATCATCTGCCAGGGCAAGTGCGAGAGCGAGGACCAGCTGAGTCCGCCACCTGTGCTGGCTGAGCTTTCCTGAGTCTCTGGCATCCTGGATCTAGCGACTTGCGTCGACCAAGAACAACAGATGGCTCCCTAGCCAATGCAGCTATCTTCGGTCACGGTCGCCCCACGGGCTCCGCTACCAATGTAGATTGGTATCTACACTGGTAGCTTCCTCGCCCTCCCTGCAAAGACTGCGCGACCTCACGCCTTTTCCTTCCAAGCTCCACGAAGGCCGTCCACGGCCGAGTTCCAGGACCGACGCTAGGGTGGCAGCCTGGGCACTGTCTAGCTACGTAGTTCCACGAAGGCTGTCCACAGCCAAGCCACTTCCAAGGCCTGTCCTCAGGCCGACAACATGGGTTCCGCGCCCAAGCCCCCTGACTTGAGAGGTAGGCCACAAGCGATCATGAATGGCTTTCACGAAACATCCGATGACTCGATGGTGGTGTGGACAGAACAGCATGCAAATCACA